GCTGCCATATGCCCCAGGAGCCTCTGAAACTGTTTCAGTGGGACCGCCATCCTGCTCTTGAATGTATTCAAGCAGTTCAACACTGACTAAGCACGTTCCTGCGTGAGGCGTACTGTCTGTTCGACCGAGTCCAACTCCATACCGAGAAAATAGATCCTCTGCATCGGGGAGAGTTTGCTCTTTTCCCAGTTGACCCGAAGACCCAACAGGCTGAGGTGTGAAAGTACCAAATCCCTGTGTTCACACAACTGATCCTGAGACTGAGCGAGTATGAGCCAATCGTCGAGGTAGTTGAGAATGCGAATGCCCTGTTCTCTCATGGGAACAAGGGCTGCCTCCGTAACTTTCGTGAAGACACGGGGTGACAGGGACAGCCCGAAGGGCAGGACCTTGTACTGGTATGCCCGCCCCTCGAACGCAAACCGCAGGAATGGCCTGTGGCGCGGAAGGATCGAAACATGGAACTACGCGTCCTTCAGGTCGATCGCTGCGAACCAATCCTGGAGACGGATACACCTGAAGATGCATTTCTGCGTGAGCATCTTGAACGGGAGCCTGTGAAGGGCCCGGTTCAAGACACGCCGATCCAAGATAGGTCTCAACCCACCACCTTTCTTGGGTACAATGAAGTAAGAACTGAATCGCATAGCCGAGCCTGACGGTTCGAAGGAGCCATCGAGACGGGCTGGGTAGCTCTAGCCAGGCTCCCAGACACCGCGTAAGTGGTGTCAATGGAACTACAGGCGTACCCGCAGTGGGGCAGCGTGGAAGAACGCAGGGACCCGGCCCTGGCGTCTCTTAGCCGGTCCGAGGTGGGTCTGGGTGTGTGTAACACTGACCTGCGTTTGAGCAGAGGGTGCGTGGCTAGTCCGTTGGTTCGTCCTCCCGATCCGCCCACTGCTGCTCACTGGCAAGAGAGGAGAGTGAGTGTGATGCGGCTCTGGATCGTCCACAACCCCCCATCCCCTCAGGGGACCCAGAGATAGAAGAAATTGCTCTTTTGTCGAGTATTTGGGTACCACTGACCGTGAGGTCAGTGGCGGAAAAAAAGGAAACAAAAGATTCTCCGCCCGGCCCTCCTACGGGGGAGGGAGTAGTGCGTTCACCATCTCCCGAAGAGCAACTCCATCTCTGGGTCGCCCATCTCAGGGCCTCTTGCTCTTTCGCTTACCACCAGGTCTGGCGGGGGCCTGGACGGGCGGGGCAGCTGCCACCGGCGGCCGGGTGGAGGCAGCAGCTGCAGGCCGGGGCAGGATGTACCCGATGGCCTAAGTCTGCTTTTGAGCAGCGGAGAACTGCTGGGCGAAGTTCTCCACTGTGTCGCCGAAAAGGCCAGCCTGGGACACGAGGGCATTCAAGAATCTTGTCTTGTCAGTCTCGCGCATGTCGGCCAGACACAGCCAGAGATGGCGCTCCTGGACAACAATAGTGGACATCGCACGACCCAGAGACCACACCGTAACCTTCGTCGCTCGTAGCGCGAGGTCCGTCGCGGTGCGGAGTTCTTTGAGAACTTCCGGGTCATGACCACCCTCGTGCAAGTCCCTCAGTGCCTTAGCCTGGTGCACTTGCAATAACGCCGAAGCGTGTAAGGCGGACGCAGCTTCTCCACAGGCCGTATAAGCACTGCCGATCAAGGCCGAAGAGTGCCTACAGGCCCGGGAGGGGAACAACGGTTTCCCCCCCCCCGCCAAGTGGTAGTGGCGTTTCGACACAACTGCATCGCAACCGACCGCTCCACCTAGGGAACTCCCACGTACCGGTGAGGGAGGATAAGCCACTGGGCCGGTTTCTGGCAGTGAAAGGTGCCGTCCATGACCCAGCGATCTCATCATGCACCTCCGGGAAGAAAGGCACTGGGGTGGGGCCCTGAGAACCAGCGCGAGCCACCCTGAGAAACCAGTCGTCCAACCTTGAGGGTTTGGGACGCGGTGGAAGATTCCACTCGAGCCCGACACTCTCGGCGGCCCGGGAAAGCATAGCCATCATTTCCGGGTCCGTATCCGGGACAGCTGACCGCCCAGAGGGCTGCAACGCTTACAGATCTTCATCCTCAGAGAAATCCGGCTCACCCTCCGATGCTGCAAAAGACATCCGATCGTCGGGGGGAGCCTCGGAAGAAACAGGTGGTACCCCCCCGGGAGGGTCCAGCCTGCTCTCTCGAGGGCTCCGCTGGTTTCGGAGTGCCGGCTGGCTGGGGCATCCCCGGAGGGGAATTCCTCACCGTGACCGTAAGACCAGTCTGCCCACTGCCAGAAAAAGGGCGCCCCCGGCTGCCGCCAGAGGGAACCCCAGATCTAGGCAGTGGCACGGGCACTCCGCCCCCTTGCAGGTAACAGAGTCTGGTCCGCAATTCCGAGATGGTCATACCCCCGCATTGGGAGCATGAGTCATCCACGAAAGCCACCTCAGCGTGCTTCGTGCCCAGGCACGAGAGGCAGCGATCGTGACCATCACCCGGCGCCAGGTAACGACCGCACCCAGGAACCGCACCCAGGAACACACGGATGGTACGACATCTTTAAAAAAGACGCGTCTTTAAAAAGGCGTTCCACCCGTGAAGCTCTTTTAGATGGAAATTGCTCTTTTAGGTTGCTGAAGCGCACAGGGGAGATGGCCGTCTGCAACACACACATGCAAAGTGCAGCCTGTTGTGTGCAACCCACTCGACACAGGAAAACCACCGCCGTACCACCAGCACGAGAGCACATGAAGAGCGTGCTTGACTGTAGTTTTTACTCTACGTAAAGGTCAGGAGCAGAACGATAGAACCGCTCGGCTCCTCAGCGAAAAGCTGAATATGCACTGCATCTGCTGCCTACTTATACTCACGCTGTGATCAGCAGCAGCTGGATACAATAATCGCATGCCAATGTGCATTGGCTTGTTTAGTTTACACTCGAAGTGGATTGGTCTCTCTAAGCGAGATCCCAATTTCGTCGGTCATCCGACGTGACGTTGAGAGTGACCGACTGAAAGGGAACTGTTCTTTGTTAGTTCATGTTAGCTCATATCCATTAAATAATGTTAACTGATACAACTTTTGTTTTTAATAATGTATTAGTAAATGCTGAAATTAACATCAACTAATGTTAATATATGCTTTAGAAGTAGCCTATTTGCCATTGCTACTTCATGTTAGGTAGGTAACTATGTTACACTCTAAAAAATGCTGGGTTGTTTCAACCCAACTTTGGGTCAAATATGGACTAACCCAACCGTTGGGTTAAATTTTTACATTACATTTTTAACCCAAAAGCTGGGTTAGTGCATATTTGACCCAAAGTTGGGTTGAAACAACCCAGCATTTTTTAGAGTGTACCTGAGTGTTTAATGTTTATACTTATTACATTTTATAATGCAAGTATAAGTAAATGCAAGGGTAATTTTGCTAAATGTGATGTTTTATAGCTATGCAATTTCTGTATAACAACCTTTGTTGTTGTGGTTCTTTGTTTGTTTTTGTTTTTTGGCTGTAATTGCATAGTTTTGTAAATAAATTTTCTTCGTGCCAACTTGATCAAGTGAGTTCTTTAAAATGGACTTTAAAATTGCATTTATCATAATCTACGTGTATAGATGTGTTAGGTTGTGTTATTTATGTATAAAATTATATATAATGGAAATTAAAGTAAACGTTTTGGCTGCGTATCAATTTTAAATGAAGGATTAGTGAACGGTAAAGTAGATATTAAAAATGAATCCGGGCCATGTCCGGCACGCTGTGTCTATCTATCTATCTATCTATCTATCTATCTATCTATCTATCTATCTATCTATCTTAGCGGGCTTATTACTGCATTTAAGATAAATTATGATGAATTAACTATTTTTTGTTTTTGTTTTGACCAATCCAATGAACACTGTAATTATATTGATTATATTTTTAAAATTACAATATTATTACTTTTATAATGGTTACAAACACGAACACCTCTAAGTTCTAAGATTGTAGCGCTCCATGCAGGTCCGGATTTACCTCTTTCTGTGATATAGGCAAAACAAATTCTTCTAATATTGTAGCGCTACATGACACCCCAAACGTCACGCCCTCTCCCACTTAACTCTCTGCTCACTCAAGAACACTGCACTCTGCACTGACGCTCTGCGCACGCATGTGAGAGAGCTGGCCACAAACTTGGGTAAGTCCAAGGACATTTTTGTCCAGATTTTAAATTATTATACATTTGTGAACTGTTTCTTGGTATATATCATTTCTCTTTGGGGTATGCAATTAATTTAATAATTTCATGTAAACATTCATTAACTGCTATTTCTTGACAAACAGTTTGTTTGGAGGAGATTTACACAAAAGTTATTTTACCGAATTTAAGTATATTTGATGCATTCATTTGACTGAAATTAAAACAAAAACACAGAATTCTTTGCAAGAACTTGTCCACAAATGCAGACTTATTGTTCTGCATTTTGATGGACTTTTAATAGGCTAACTTGTAATAAACTGAATGCTCACAGACAGGCACATATAGATAGATAAAGACCATGGAGGAGAGTAGAGATGGAGGCATTGCTGATGGGGAAGCTATGGAGACAGAGGGCCAGAAAGGGAGCGCTGAAAAAGGACCCGAGGCCAGGGAGAAATGGGCCAACAAGACTGAGTTTCTGCTGTCTATGGCTGGAGAGATCATCGGCCTGGGGAACGTGTGGCGCTTCCCTTACCTGTGCTACAAAAATGGAGGCGGTAAGTGAAAGTTTGTCATAGAGAGAGGGTTGGAAAGCAGGACTGCTGAAGAAGAAGTGTAACATTGAAAGAAAGAAAGAAAGAAAAAGAAAAAGAGGCAATACGCCTGGGACGTTTTAAAGCTCTGCACAGAGAGATGGATTTGACCTTTAAGATTCAGCACATCAGAATTGAAGCCCATGGTTTTTAACTTAATCAATAGACTACTATGTTCTTTTGCAATGCTCAGAGACAATTTTTGTTACACATCATGGCTCTCTTCCCCCAAGCACGTGCTCTTTTTTTTTTGAGTGCTTACTTTTACAATTGCTCATACTTAGGTTTAGGGGTTTATTCAAATCTCTTATTCAAAGTGTTTTTTTTATGTTTTAGCCACTATTTGCACTATTTTGCAGCTCTGCAAACTCAGAGCTTCTCACAGCTAATTAATATATATATATATAAAAACATGATAACATAATAAAAAAAACATGATTTTTGAAAATTAAAAAATCTGTTTTTGCAAAGAAACTCCTTGTGTGTGTATATGTATGTATATATATATATATACACACACACACAAGGAGTGTCTTTGCAAAAACAGATTTTTTAATTTTCAAAAATCATGTTTTTTTATTATGTTATCATGTTTTTATTGTGTTTTATTGTGTTAGTTAGCTGTATTTTTTAAAAGTTAGTTTTACTTAATCAAAACAACCCAACTGACTGAGATTAATTGGAATGCACAATGCAAAAACATGCTTTTTGAAAACTGTTAAAAACGGAGTTATCTGTGTTTGCAAATTAACTCTTCAAATATATATATATATATATATATTCTTATTAAAATAAGTAAGCACAAGTTATATTTCTTTAAAAATGAATCGTGTAAACCAAAATGGTGTTTGCTACCGTTTATCCTCAAGCTCCTTATTCAAATGTGATCAAAAGAAGCTACAGTATTACATTGCTTATTTAATGATATGTTATTGCTCTGTTCTTTTACAACCCTTAAAGATAATGTAAACAAGATTTTCACCCTAGATTATGACTAATAACTCATTTTTGTTATGGCCTCTCCAGGTGTTTTCTTCATCCCTTATTTCATCTTCCTCTTCTTTTGTGGAATCCCAGTATTCTTCCTTGAGACGGCATTAGGTCAATACACTAGTGAAGGGGGCATCACTGCTTGGAGAAAAATCTGCCCCATGTTTGAAGGTGACTTATGCTTTCATAAAAGTCCATGTATTGAATTGCTGGAATTAATTGTACTGTACTGTGCTTTGTGTATTATTTTGCACATGTAGCATCTCTCACACAGTGTGGTTTTTGTCCACAGGTGTAGGTGTTGCCTCCCAAGTTATAGTGATTTATCTGAATATATATTACATTGTGGTCCTGGCCTGGGCTCTGTTTTATCTATTCAACTCTTTTTGGAGTACTCTACCTTGGACTTCCTGTGACAATTATTGGAACACAGGTGTGGTTTAATGTATTATGTGATTCATATAAGCTCAAGACACTGAATACCTGTCAGGCAATTTCAGACTTGCCCAGTAGCACAAGCATTGCAGCTTTGAATGTTAATAATGTCAACAACTGCTATTGTACAAGCTTAGTTTTTTAACTTTTGGTTTGTAGCTCATCCTGCAACGTTTGTGCTACAGAAATTAATATTAGGCTACGTATATGTGATTTGTTGAGGGGAATTAGCATCTTTCTAAATGATCAGACTTTTTTTTCCCGGTTTTTGCACCAGCATAAAAATAAAATAGTTCATTGTGAGATAAAGTTCAAAGTAAAACATAAAATCAGATTGTGAGATACTGTATAATTAATGATTTCAAATTGCAATTCCGAGAAATAAAAGTTTGGTTGCTGCAGTTAGGAGATATGAAGTCACATTGAAAGATACTGAACATTTCAAAAAATAAAGTTGGAATTGTGAGATACAAGGTCACATTGTAAGATATGAAGTCACAATTACAAGAAATAAAGTTGTAATTGCAAGCAGTAAAGTCACAATTATGAAATAAAAATAGTCACAATCATGAGAAATAAAGTCTCAATCACATGAAATAAAGTTGTGATTGTGAGATATAAGTTGCAGTTACAAGAAATAAAGTCACAGTTTATGAGAAATGCAATTTACACTCACAATTACAGGAAATTAAATTGCAATGAGAATTAAAAGTGCTGTTGCAAAAAAAATACAAACATATAACAAAGTCACAATTACAAGAAATTAACTCACAATTCTGAGAAATAAAGTTGTAGCTGTGAAATATAAAGTTCCAATTGCAACAAGGAATAAAGTCGCAATTACAATAAAAAAATAAAGTCACAGTTAGAAATACATTTGCAGTAAGATACACTCAGAATTACGAGAACTAAAATTGAGAATGCAATGAAATAAATTAGCTAATGTGAAAAAAAAGTTGAAATTGTGACATATAAAGTTGCAAATACCAGAACCAAAGTTGCAATTATGATCAATAAAGTTATAATTGTGAGATATAAAGCTGAAATTACAAGGAATAACCACACAATTACAAGAAGTCACAGTTTCCTTTTCTTTTTTTTTTACTCTGGGGCAGAAACAGGCTTTCATATATATATAGTCTCTTTTTTTTCAGAAAATGTACAATGACAGTTAATTAGTTATTCTAAACAGTGGTGATTAATTTGCTAAAATACAGAATTAGTCATAACGGACTAATTAGAAATAGTCAGAATTAGTCAGATACATCTGTATCTAGCATTGGTATATTTGGGTTTCTGGCCCAAGGTTTATCCTAAAACTAGAAATCTAAGACTTGGAACAAGTAAATGGAATATGGAACATATTAAAAATAATAATGTTGAAAATAAAAATTCTATTTTGCCAAATGTGGCATTGTGGATGTTGCTAAGGTATTTTGAGTGGTTGCTTAGAATGTGGCTAAGCGGCTAATAGCTAATGCCCTAATGGCTAATTGTCTATGATTTTCTTCATGTGTCTGCTAGTCTATGGGAATCTCTTTTATGTATGTAACACTGGAATATTTTAGAAAAGTCAACTAACATGATATTTATGTGTTGTTTGTCATTGTTTTGCAGGTTGTGTACTTCACAGCTACGTTCCCCTACTTAATGCTGTTCATCCTTTTCATCAGAGGAGTGACTCTGCCAGGAGCTGCAACTGGAATTACTTATTATCTGTATCCTGATATCAGTAAACTCTCTAATCCTGATGTAAGTGCACACAATCCCTACTTCTCATTTTGCATGCTATCTGTCCTAAATAGTATCTGAAGTTAGAATTGATAATGTCCCGAATACAGTACGCTAAAATTACAATCCAGATGATCTACTTTTTGATCGCATTAATTAATTACAGTGCGACAAAGCGGTTGATTGTTTCACGATGCAATTTTATAGCATGGAAATATATGCCAAAACCTGCCTACTTGCCTGATCTAAAAAAAGCAGGTGGCTGGATGGCAGTGGGGGGGGGTTCAAAAATAAACTGGAAAAACTAAATTGGCAAGAATGAAAGATGCGGATCACATTTTGAATAAGATTACCAAGACAAACATTTTCAGTTTGGAATGACGTGCACATTTTGGAATGATGTCAAAATACACAATAAGACCAGAAATTTGCATTTAAAAGGAATCGGATTTCACGTTTATACTTGTGTTAGTACTGGAACGGTTGTAATTCCAAAATGCCATTTTGGAATAGTTGGATGGCAGTCTGGCATTCTTGTACAGTTAGATTTGTCATGTGTTTTTCATGTTATGTCTAATTCATGGAACAGTACATTGCTGTGATGACTCGTAAAACAGTAAATATTCTGTTTTATTCATGTGGCATGTGTGGAAAAGTCAAAATGTGTAAATCTGGGTCATGCGGGTGGTCTGGTTGGATCGTAATCCATAAAGGAGCACTCTGTTTCCAAGAAAATGACCTACTAATGGTCTTAAGAACTCATTGACTATGATGACTTTGTAATGATTCCAGACAGGGAGGTTTGTTTCCCTCAGCCTCAGGCATAGCGGCTATCACTGGGTCTGTATATAGAACTAGAGGGAAAAACAGATGCACATGAACACCAAAAAAACATGCAACTTTTGTTTTCTGAAAGAGTTTCTACAGAATTTCTTTGTTTTTTTTTGTAAGAGGAGTTTAACAATGCAAGTGACAAAACTATTTTCTTAGAGAGGGATTTTCGTTGCTTTCACCGCAAAACAAAATAAAGATTGTCAAAAAGCGAGGCGAAAAGGCGATGTATTGCATGGGAGGTGCTTTTGGTTTTTGGAGGGGAGCCACAAAAATAAGTTTGTTGGAATTATACAAGGCAGCTGCAAAAGTGAGGCAGGGAGGCAGAAGAGAAGAAATCTTGGAATTGTGTAACAATCACAGGGTTGTTATAGGGTGTCCTCCACCCCTCTACTATCACTGGTTTTGCCTGGTAGACTTCAGAAATGAAGAAGCAAAGCCCACACTCTGTGCTTGCTGTTTCTGAAACTAATATGAATTCATGTTTATACTATTTGATATTGTTGTAGCTTTTGGCATTAGAATTAATTTTAGGATAGATTTGAATTAATAGAATTGACTGGCCATCTGTCCAGGGTGTCGGCAGCCTGTGGCCTGAGACTCTGAAATAGGCTCCATCCCTGCGACCCTACAGAGTATAAGCGGTTTGGAGAATAGATGGATGGAATAGAATTGTCTTTATATAATTATATGAGCAATATCACACAAGTAACTAAAATCACCATCATGAACACACACCGTTTCTGAATACCAAGTACTATTATTATATAAAACATTATTTATAATAATATTTAATAAACAACAACAACCATCATAAAAGTTATTAGGCAATTCAGTCAAATGTACAAAGGCAGCACTCTGATATACAGCATTAAAGTTATATAAAATATAACGTGATGAGATTTTGCCCTCAGCCAAATCTATTTGCTCTGGAAAAAGATAAGAAAATGAGGCCAAATTAGATTTACCCAAAACAAATTATATGTCATGTTTAACCTCTATAGAGACATCAGAGCCAGTGGTAAATTCCAGAAGATCTGGCCGAGGTAAGGCTGCTCTCGGTGGGTTAATGAGTGTTGAACGGATGCTGACGCCATGGAGCTTTCTTAACATACCAATCTTTATTAACAAACCACATATTTTAAGTCTAAACAACTACATTCTTTTCTTAAAAAACAAAAATATAAAAAACTATTAAACCTACATTCTGTGACACAAAAAACAGTATTATTTATAAAATTATAGTGGATTTGGGCGTCTGCCATTGGCATCCGCTGTGAGAAGTACCACAAGCAGACTGATACAAATGGTAAAACGGTTGGAGTTATCTTTTGCTTTTCAAATTTTAATAGATCCAGCCTAAAATCTTCCTCCCTGCAACCAACTGTGACACATGTATGCTCTAGTCCAGTTTTTGTTTGACCCAGTACACACATTTTATATCAGTTTAGCATACTCACTCAAAAAGTTAAGTGAAGGGCTGCGTCCCCAGGCATTTATTTATTTAGTATTATTTATATTTTTTGGTAGAAGATCAGTGTACATCAGAATAATGGCCAGATTTAACTTTCTTCTAACTCCGAAATCACAGTTTCACCCCTTTTGGGGCCTCAATGAGAACACAATGAGCTTAAGAGAGGCATATAGATGTTGCCATCCAAACTGCATCTATTGGTGTCACTGTAGGACAGTATACAATTATAAAAATGTATAATATTTAGAAATATATTTTGTTTTATTTTTGTACTGTTGATTATTTTCTTTCTTACTTGCCTTGCCTTCTCTGAGACAATGTACTCACACAGGAAGTGTGTATAAATATGTAGGTGGATAGGGTATCATGTATATCGAGTCTAAGAAATGCGAATAAACACTAGCATTACGAAACTGAATTAGAGGATGTTAGCCCTCTAACCCTGCTTATAGTAACCAGATGTGCAGACTAGAGGCCCATTTGAGGAGTGCATTGCTCAAACTGGATGTCTACAGTGAATTAGTGAATCTCATAAAGAAATGTCCAGGTCAAATTCCACCCCAAAATTAAAATACATTTTATTTTGCATCTTTATCTCGTTTTCTGCAGGTATGGCGTGATGCAGGCACTCAGGTGTTTTTCTCCTACGCTGTGTGTCAAGGAGTCCTAACAGCGCTGGGCAGTTATAACAAATACAACAATGACTGCTACAAGTCAGTAGCCTCCTGCATTAACGTTCTGCACCCCACCCATTGATACATATCACAGTCGTCTGCATTTCATCATTTATTGTTATTTCTATATTCTGTGTTCCACAGGGACTGTATAGCACTCTGTATTCTGAACAGCTCCACCAGCATCTTTGCTGGATTTGTTGTCTTTTCTATTCTGGGGTTCATGGCCCATCAGTTAGGTTTACCCATGGAAGACATAGCATCATCAGGTAAATATTGTTATGATGAGACTATATATATGCTGTCTAGATATAATATAGTACACTGGATTATTTATGTGTATGCAGCCCCAAAGGGGACATGGTGATGGAACAAAATTTGAGATGGGAGGAAAAATTATATTTCAGTGCTTTTGGATTTGCTAACAAAAGTACTACATTCCCCCATGGAACTTTGTGTTCTTTCACAAAACATTTATGTTTTCTTACAAAACTATAGAGAATATTTGCGTTCTCTCACAAAACATTTGTATTCTCTTTTAAAAGTATTGTTTTCCCTCAACAAACTTTGCGTCTCCTCACAAAACAGGCATTTTCCCTCCTATTCAATTTTCTACACTTTAAGGGGCTCCATACATGGTTCTACATTTTTCATGGAAGAAAAAAAAAGTGGCCTTTTAATTAATGGGTTACAGATGCTTTTTCAGTCTCCTTAAGCAAACATTTAGAGTCCGGTGACTTTTATGCATCTACGCACATCAAGTACTGATTCTAGTGGAAAAGACATGCACAAATCTCAGATCTGAACCTCACTGAACACTTTCAGGGTAAATTGGCGATCCAACTGCAAGCATGGCCACACTTTTGACCATGTAGTGTATCATCGTCTCTTGCTATGTTGCTATCCACCACAAGAGAGCATCTCAGGCCAACACTTGTGGTCTATGTATGTCTGAATGTATTGAAACTGAATACTGTATTATATATTATGAATGCTATATTATGAAATATATATTTTAGGGTTATGCGACAATAATGAAAAACTTTTATTTTATTTTATTTCATTTCAGGCCCTGGACTAGCATTCATAGCATATCCTAGAGCCCTTTCTCTGTTACCTGGGCCCCAGTTCTGGTCTGTTCTTTTCTTTTTTATGGTACTTCTTCTGGGCCTTGACAGCCAGGTACGGTTGTTCAACATCACATAGCATATATAACATGATATTTTATGATATTTTTTCCACGAGTCTTATGTCCATTTTGATAAATGTGCGAGGGTTTACATCCATGTCTTTTGAAGTTTGTGTGTGTGGAGAGTTTAGCCACAGCTCTCACAGATCTATTTCCTGGAGTTCTAAGGAAGCGGCGAGAGCTTTTGGTGTTAAAAATCGCCGTCATCTGCTTCTTACTGGGTCTGCCATTCATCACAAAGGTATAGAAAAAAAAAAGAAAATAGATATTAGATATTAGATATTTTCTAAATTTACAGCATACTATATTTTAGGGAGGATTCCATCTGTTTACTGTGATGGACACCTATGGCCCGAGTGGAACTAACCTGCTCTTTATCGCCTGCTTTGAGACGATTGTTGTCGCATGGGTTTACGGTAAGAGACGCTACAATACACTGTAAAGTGTGCTGTTTTTAAAATTCTTATTGAATAGCTTGTTTCTCTATGACACTTTATTAAAGTAAAATGGGTTGTGAATGCAGTTTCACTGAGACTCTAAGGACATATTACCACTCAATGCAACCAACTGCAAAAAAAATAGTAATTTACAAGACAAAATATTATTTACAGTGTATATCAAAGAAAATTTAATACAATAACTTTTCTAAACTACAGCAAATAATTACTTGTTGTACTATATGTTTATTACAATGTAATTACATTATAATATGCATATCAATTATGGATGAGTATTGAACATATAAATATTCTTAAACAAGTTTAAGTTGAGTGAGTTAATCTTTTAGCCCTATACTTTGTTCATAAAACTTCCCCTGGAGTTTAAAGTTTGCTACTGTATAATAACTGCAATAAGACACACATTTTAAAAATGAGAGAAAGGTAAACAAGAAAAAAAAATGTCACGCAAATGGCTGGTTTGCAGGTGCAAACCGTTTCTATGACAACATTGAGGACATGATAGGATACGCACCATGCCCTGTGCTGAAGTACTGCTGGCTCTTCATTACCCCTCTCATCTGTGTTGTGAGTTCACGTTTTGTCTCTCTCTAGCTCTCTCTCACTCTTCTGTCACTGTTTATTGTTTCAAAATCTGCATTGCTTTCTCATTAGTTCATCAATGATTGTTTCATGTTTCGTTTGACATCCTGCTATGCATCCATTCCTTCAATACATTCATTAATCCGAGCAGTTTATCTGTCATGGTTTGGAGCTTTTTGGAGACTTCTGTCTCTTTTATTTGATAGAATTTGTAACACTCAAAAAGAACAAGTGGCAAACTGTAGCTACTTAAAATAGATATCCATTTAGAATTACTTTTTTTAGCAGACAGTTTTATCCATAAGCAGTATTCAAATGATGAATTCAATGATTCGATGATTATTTTGAGTGTTGCAGAGCTCAGGCTCTTCAAGGTCTTTACACCAACACGGTGCATGTACTGTAGTCAGGATGTTGTATATATTTTGTGTTTTTTGCATCAGATTGAGTAACCATTTTGAAAGTACAGGAATTTGTCTCCACCCCCCCCACCCCCCTTAGGCTACTCTGCTGTATAACCTGCTGGGTAGTAAATCTGTGTCTTCAGCTGATCCATTTGTGCCGGACTGGAGTTACAAGTTGGCACCTTTGCTCACAGTCATTCCTATGGTTTGCATCCCAATCTTCTTGTTCGTCTCTTTAGGAAGGGTGAGTAAAACCCATCAATCCATCCAACCCATCCGTTCATCATTTAGTCATGCATTCATTCATCTTATCTCAGTCAATTCCGTCTGTCACAGCATCTGTCCTCCATTCTTAAATACCGACACTGACTTTTTACCATTTAACACAGAATTGTGTGTGTAAATATTGTATAATAAAAGAAAACCCATGATTTAAATAGCAGGATTTAACAGTGATCACCTACTTTTTCAGCTGTCTTGGTTCTGGAAGTATTTTTCCCCATTCATTTCTCAATAGTGATTTCTAAAAGATTTCAGTAAAATATTGTCATGAACCAAGTCATGAACCAAACCAACCAGCATAATTATGATATTGCAAACACTGATTTGAAAAAAAAAGAAAGTATGTAACAATTAAAGTCAGTGTACATCTTAGAATGAACTTGAATGTGTAGTATATAATATTTACACACATTATATAGTAGTTATAGGGAGAACAACTCGTATAATTGTAATGTTTTGCCAGAATTTACATTTCCATGGTAACAGAGTCTTCTCTGATTGGTGGTTCTTTGTTAGGGATTGTGGGTAATGTAGTTCTTCACTGTGAATTGGGCTAATGAACAAGATTTTATAAAAATGCACTAAAATCATGTTGACTTCTACTGAAGCATATATTAAAGGGGTCATATGATGCTGCTAAAAAGAACATTATTTTGTGTATTTGGTGTAATGAAATGTGTTTATGCGGTTTAAAGTAAAAAAAAACACATTATTTTCCACATACTGTACATTATTGTTTCTCCTCTATGCCCCGCCTTTCTGAAACGCGTCGATTTTTCAAGCGTGAGACGGAAATGTTACGCCCCTCACCATATTGCATGTCCCGGAGCGACGAGACAAAAACATTAAAACCCATTACAAATGAGGCATTTGTTGCATCCAGTGGGGACATAATTACTGATTATAATGACTTATACTGTCTTTTTACGCATTGCGTTGCATCGCATCGCATCGCGCCGCGTAAACATAAAACCCTGTCTGCATTTGTGATCAGAGAAATGACAAACAACAAGTGCTACTCCACACTGCCCAAAACTCGCGTTAACACTCCAAAGAGAAAGGAAAAAATTTAATCGCATCATATGACCCCTTTAACAACCTCAGAGCCTATGGTAGGTTTATCTTGAAATATTTATATGTAATTGTTAAAAACCAGTTAATTGTTCAAAATACATAGTTATTCAAAATCAGTTCACTCCTGGAACCTTACTGCGATCTTTAACAGCACATAATTGTTCAAACACTCGTCATGTAATTTTTAGGAAATTTATTGTACAATTAATGTATCGGGCTTCTTTCCATCTCCTCAGGGTCGTAACATCATCACCCCCTCTAGTGACCTGAAGCAGCTCCGACCAAACAGTCCTCGCCTCACACTGTTTAATCGCGTAATCATTAAACCACAGAGATCTCGACACATTCGGGAAGATGGAGAAGAGAAAGCTAACAAAGAACACACCAGTGGAGTTTGATAAGGCAGAATGATGATTTTATTTTAGTTTATATATTATATACTTTATGTTAAATAATATCTTTGACTTGAATAAAATCAGTTAATCTAAATATAAAGTATATATTAGATTTCTTGACAACGCATTTCATTACAGTGTATGAGACTGCTCATATGAAATACACATCACTCAGGATGTCAGATGAACAAAACAAGGTTCAGCTGGAAATTTGACTGTGTTAATATGCAAAATTAAAGGGATAGTTCACCCAAAAATGTAAATTTGCTGTTAATTTACTCACCCTCAGGCCATCCAAGATGTAGGTGACTTTTTTGTTTTCAGTAGACTAGTAAAGAAGATTTTTAGCTGTAACCGTGGTCCTTGGTGATTCATAAAATGCAAATCAGTGGCTACCCATTTTTGAGAATAAAAAAGCATATCAAGGAACACAAAATTAATATCCGTGGCTCCTGACAAAACTGCAACAATTTCATTTTTTGGGGTGAACTATCCCTTTAAGAGTGTTTTTTATGAGTCTTCATTCTGTTCTCAGGAGAAATTAAACTGTTTGTAGGAGTTCAAACTGAGGGTTGGTGCAGCTGAGGAAAAAAATAGCAAATCTATTTTATATATGAAATTTATATGACAACTCTGATAACTCATAGAGTGGAAATATGATAGTTTGTCTCATTTACATTTGTCATCTCTCTCTCTCTCTCTCTCTCTCTCTCTCTGTATACAGATCTTTTTTTTAATTTCTCAAAAAGGGGTCATTATACTGGTGGCTGAAGCATTCTTCAGAACCACAGAACCACTCTTTATATTTTTAACTAGACTCCTCTGTACCAATTTTCTATCCCATTTTTGAGAAATTTTATCGCATTAAACATACTGTTCTTTCTTCCTTTCTTTCCAAATATATATTTTAAAACTTGGTTAAAATAGTCCATTATTTGTTGCTACATATGTGATATATTTACTCACCCTCAGGCCATCCAAGATGTAGGTGACTTTTTTGTTTTCAGTAGACTAGTAAAGAAGATTTTTAGCTGTAACCGTGGTCCTTGGTGATTCATAAAATGCAAATCAGTGGCTACCCATTTTTGAGAATAAAAAAGCATATCAAGGAACACAAAATTAATATCCGTGGCTCCTGACAAAACTGCAACAATTTCATTTTTTGGGGTGAACTATCCCTTTAAGAGTGTTTTTTATGAGTCTTCATTCTGTTCTCAGGAGAAATTAAACTGTTTGTAGGAGTTCAAACTGAGGGTTAGTGCAGCTGAGGAAAAAAATAGCAAATCTATTTTATATATGAAATTTATATGACAACTCTGATAACTCATAGAGTGGAAATATGATAGTTTGTCTCATTTACATTTGTCATCTCTCTCTCTCTCTCTCTCTCTCTCTCTCTCTCTCTCTCTCTCTCTCTCTTGGTATACAGATCTTTTTTAATAATTATAAAAATGTAACATTTAATGAAATAATTTTAAAATACAATCAATGAAAAAAAACGTTTTTTTTAATTAATTATTTTTAGCTGCATGTCATGTGACCACTAACCAACATTAGAGAACTGTGAGCATGCAAATGTGATACGTAATTAAAAAAAATAAAAAAAATTAAATCTCAAGAGATACTTCAAGTAATTTGTGCATTTTAATTTGTTTGAAAAACAAAAGCCTTCCAAAGACACAGTAATACATGGTTAAATAACCTACCAAGTGATTAGAATTAGTAATTAAAATAAAAAAATAACTAGTGGCAACAACTTTGCCTTTTTCTCACAGTGATTACAGGGGAATACTGTCAATTAATAAAGATTTATTTTTGCGTGGTTCCTTGCACAATACTATCTTCTGACATTATATCACTTTTACCATGATATGTAAACTAGTACATTTTAACATTTCCACCACATAATCAGCTCCATATGTAATGGTTTTCTGGCATAGTAAACTTGCTCAGTAGCTCACCTGATCCAGCACTGCACTTGCGATGTGGATAAATCGAGTAAGAGTAAAAGACTTAAAATGGCATGGTTGCTTCAGAAAATTCACTTTTTTTTCTATGTTTGCTTTTGTTAACTGACAGCAGGTTTAGTGTAAGTAGTACATTGGGACCCACTTTATATTAAGTGGCCTTAACAACTATGTACTTGCATTTAAATTAATAATTTGGTACAATGCACTCATTGTGTACATACATGTTTTTACATTGTACTTATATTTTGTTATATATAACTTATACATTGTACCTATTTATAATTAAACAGGTGACCCATCCCTTACACCTTAACCCACCCTTAAACCTACCCATACCAACAAACCTGTCCCTAACCTTACCCATATCTCACCTCAATAGCAGCTAAAGTGTTTTGCAATACAATGTGAACACAATAAGTACATTGTACTAAATTTTTGATGTAAGTGCATCGTAGTTAAGGCCACTTAATATAAAGCGGGGCCGTACATTGTTTTCAAAAGCGATAGAGCATTACATTTTTAGTGCTACTTATCAGACATTTTATTTCTAAACTGCAATGATATGTACAAAACCAACATAATACAATTTTGCTAGATTAATGTTTATCTATTTTGGATAAAGCTGTTCACAATTGGAGCAACATTCTTTAAACACTTCACTTTGAAAGCATCATGAAACCTTCTAGAAGAAACTTGATATAATTTCGCAGAAATGTTGCATATGCACATTTTCAAGTCAGTAAGGAAGTCATTTTAAATGAAATATGAACTTACTTTAAAATATATTCTCTGAAAACAATTCTAAATCTCTCGTACAGCTTTACTGCTCAGGTAAATTCATCTTTTTTTTTAATAGACATTTTTACAACAATATCCAACAAGAACATTGAACAAAATATTTGTCTGCAATATGATTAATATATATACAAGTATACATGAGTTTTGAGGAAAAATGGCTTCACAAACCTTTTAGACCAAGTAAGTACTTGAGCCAAGAGGTCAAGCGGTGACATTTGGATGCTCTATTAGTTACAATTGTCTCCGTTCTACAAATCCACAGATCAGAATTCATTTTGCTCTTTGTTCTCATTGAAGTGAACAAAACACAACGTGTTTAAAATGTGACTTCATTGTAAATATCACACTTATAGCAAATAAAGAAGCAAAAGGAACATTCACAATGGCTGTTCATGCATGACAAGACATAAGCAAACTTAATAGGTAGTACATGTAAAGGAGTGTGTTAACTTTGTAATCTCACTGTGTCGCCACCATGAGCCACGCAGGTTCATTGTGGGGTGTAATTAGCTTCTATTGATTTGAGGGCACATACAACGAGTGATGAAAACCAACTCTGACAACTCCAATTCTGTGCCTGTCGCTTAACGATTGCAGGCAATGACAAACCTAATGTGAATAACCTCTGATTTACTGTTGACATTGTGGCTGCATTAAAACAGCGTTCGAGTCTTTTCATTCCCAAGACAAGTGCGAAATAACTTTGCACTTCATCCAAAACATCCACTGCTACTTGCATTTGCTTTGTCAAGTTGTCTACTGGCAATGCAGTTTCCCAAGCCATGCTTCTCTTGGCACACAGTGTTGATAGAGATAAAGAAGCTACTAAAATACGCCCTTGAAGTAACTCAGCGTCTTGGCTAGCTCCATGTATATGCATATTCAGTTAGAAATACATTGATCTAACACTCTTAATAGCTTTCCCCGTCTTCACACAATTCATCATGCTCACTCTAAACAGCAGCAGCCTCTTTAACCTGTAAAGATTTTATGTTCATATGTTGTCAGTTTGATGTAAAATTATAGTGGTTGGCAAGAGCAAACATTCAAGTGCTTCAAGGCAATTAAAAGTTGGCAATGTGTGGTATAACATGATAATACTCAAAAAGAGAGAATTTTTTATAACAAATATATACATTTATATTTACTAATAGAAAAAAATACTGTTAAAATCTCACCAGAAGATTTTAATTTGACTCATACAGCTCTTTTACGGTCCAAAACACACGTTACCTTCTCATTTTAATGGTTCATTTAGTAAAAAGCAGTTGTACGATCCATTGACTAAATGTTTTTACTGTCATGGCCTAAAAACTGAACATATTTGAACGTATGAGCATTTAATAGAGGGTTGTGCTTCGCACAAAATAGAAACAAAACATAGTTTAAGTGGATGGTGTCCATGGCAGTGTTCTTGGTCAGTTTCCCAATTATTACTCATAGCAGAGGTGCTTTTGTGAAATGAACTGCTTTTATAAGAGCTGTTCAATTCTGTCAACAGGATACATGGAATTCCGAGGTTACTCACTCTTGCTTTGGCAAAGTCACAAGTATTTATTTTTTTTGTGCACTGCGAAATTTATTTGGCAAAGGTGTTTCCATTCTAGTTTATGCACATTTCTTCTTATCAGATAAAGAAAAAAATAATAATAGCCACCACAACTGAGCACATATCCCAGAATTTGCAATGGATTATTTTTAGATATCTGTAGGAAGTAAGAATAAGATTATTATAACATTTTCACCCTTTTTTTGCAATGAGGAAAATTACTCATCAGACTTTTATCACTCTTCAAAATTGTGTCATTCACTAAAGAAGGATATATCCAGCTGACCATACAGTACCTCAGTGTAGCAATGTTCCCACTAAAGGCCAATTCACACCGCACAGACAAACGCCAACAAACAAGTTGGCTCAAGTTGGCTGTTAAATTTAGAATTTTATTAAAAATAACTGTCATGTTCACATTGCCCCAACAAACTTCGAGTCAGAGAGAGTCAAGTAACACCGTGTCTACACCGGACGTGACAATTGTCGCATCACGCCACGTCCAGTGTAGACAGTGTCACTTAATATAATCAATAGAACCTCTATTGTATTTTGTCGCGTCACACCGCGCCACTCGCGTCCAGTGTAGATGGTGTAACACTGATTGGGGACGAAACTGATGATCCTGTAACCACAATCAAAATTTGACTTTTATTAATGTCTTTACGTGTCATTCTTCACCTGAAAAGACGGCGAATAAAACGAAAGAGACCGTGGGTGAAGCATGCTTTAAGTGAAATA